CTTAAAAGATTATTAATATAAAATAAATACAAAATACAAATTAATAAACATTAGGTACAACAATTTAATCCCGTATTTAATTGAATAGCTTATTATAGAAATTGTTTAGATTATGCGTAAAAAAGGGTTAATGGTCAAAGGTAACATATTCTTTAATATTCTACAGAAGATAAAATAATTAATTAAAAAATATGAAAACTAACTACCTACATTATTTGAATTTATTTATATTAAATTTTATATAAAAACGTCGAAATCAATTATAACAGAACACAGAGTAAGAAGACGACGAAAAGTTTACATCACATAAAAACAAGGGTCAATAACATACTTGGAAATTTAGTTAGATAACAACACCCGCAGATAGTACCTATATAATATTTGCATTTATAAGTATGTAAAACGATAGACGGTAGTAAAGTAGTATACTGGTATATTATACTTATATATTATAAGTAAACTATATATYGTACATACTATTTTATTTAATATTATATTATCTGTAATGCATCTGTAAATAGCAAGCTTACCACAGCAAAATTAGGTTATCTAAGCCTCAAAATCATTCAACGAAGAAAATACTAAAATTTGAAAAGTAAAAATAATTTCTTTTCTGGTAGTGAGTTTTATAATATTTGTCGATAGAAACAGGGAACTAACTATTAACTCGCTCAGATAATTTTAATCGAAATTGTATCCGTCGATCGGTTAAAAAAAATCATTACTCAGATAAATTACAGGGTAAAAAAAAACATTTTAAAGTGTGTAAATTATTTTTACAAAAATAGATTGTTTAAAGGGATTGAMATTTTTGAGTAGGTATTTCCGGAAGTCTATTCTTTATTATCATAATAAGACATCACAATATTATTGTCGAGTATTTTAATAAATATATGCGCTTTGTACGCATGGTTAGGTTTAGCATGATGTGATGCTGTAACGAAAACCTGTCCTGGTTAATTTGAAAATCATAGAAATACATCACATAAAATTAAAAATTAAAAAATTAAAATTTATTATGTTATCATCAGAGTTTCAGAGTAGAATGACATTATCATTGAAAGTGAAAAACGTAAAAAAATATACATTCATAATGTCTATGGTTTTAAACCAACTGTATATTTTACTTTAATTTTAGTTAATGTTTTATAACTCGATATTTAAATAAATATAAGTATGTAATAAATAATAAAACAAGCATAATTTATTGTGTTAAGATAGAAATCTTTTAGAAACCTCTATGATGCACAAMAAAAAATAAATAAAAATAAAGGCAAGAACATAAAAAAAAAACTAACACAATTACTTTAGAATTTTGATTAATTTTAGTTTAAAAAATAAATATTATTTAATTTGGTGTTTGATACACGAAATGCAAATGAAATTTAAAATAAACTGACAAATAATAATTTAAATAAGCTTTATGTCTTTATGTATAAAAAAATCTACTAATTTGACATATTATTGATATTATTGAACATTACTATGGTATAATATCCATAATATTAGGTAAATATCTTAATACCTATCATATAGGCGAGCGTATAATATATCAAAATATAATTAAATATATTTTGTATTTGTCTARACTGTAGATAGAGGTTAGAGGTACATGTTTTAAATGTTTACCAATACAATGAAAACAATGTAAATCATAAACAAAACAACAATTAATGTCTTGCAACAATATTTCTCTAGTATGGGTTAACCTAATCTGTTTTTACTAAATATATATTTATTTAATCATAATATTTTTAAGTATCTAATTGGGAAATATTACTTAAATTTTTATATTTTTTAATTAAAAGCGTTTATAACACGAAAAAAATATTGTAGTTTAGCTGGTATTGATTTTATTTTGTGGTGTTCATTGGTGTATTGTACAACATGATATTTTTGTTTTAGTAAATTTCGTATATAATTGATATTTGATATTTAATAATGATGGGATGGTATTATAATTTTCTTAAAGATTTTTTTTTTTAATTATGTAATATTTAAATGGTATGGATATGGTTGTAAATTGAACTCGTCACTACGTAGTATCACAGATTATATAATRTAGTATTTCAATATTTAAGATATCGATTGTTTTTTTTATTCTTATCGCGTTACACGAAAAATAAATTTAATTGGAATATTTATACATTTTTCCGCTACATACTTATATAACACTTTTTAAAGTCTAGAGATTTGGTAATAATATGTGATTAAATAAATTATCGAGTAAATTATTATTTAAAACAAAAAAAAAAATGTTAGTTAAATTGTAGCTATTAGAGAATATTATATTTTGAGATTTCAATTAGATTTAAAATGTATATGTTTAATTTATGGATAAAACATTTTAGGTAGGTACCTTAATTCAAAATTACAATTATTATTGATTAGGTATGTTAGGTATGGTAAAATATTAAATTTTGAAAACTTATATATAATYAAAAGATTGAATTCTATCACATTATATCAAGGACTCCTATTGATTATATTTAATTAAACCATGATTTATATTTTAAAAATATTCAAATATCCTGGATAAATTTGAAAAATATTTCACCTAAGTATAAATTATAAGAAATAAGGTAATTTAAATAGTTATTAAAAACCATTAGYCATTAGKTATACCGGTATTTTTTATTTACGGCAACAGCCATCAGCTTAAGACGAAATTAGAACCTAAACACAAGCTCCCAAACAATTAAGACGAAATCTTTCAAAGAAATCTATTTTTATTACTTATTTTTCAGGAAACCTCCTATTATTCATTGCAGTTCCTAAAATTCTAATTACGGTATTTTTCGTTTTAATTATTTTATGCAGTTGGTATACTTTGCTATTTTGTAATTACTAATTTGAATAAATCCAGAAATTACATAATTAATATAAAAAAATGAATCAACTACTCGTTTACTTTTTCTTTTAATWAAGCCGAGAACTATTAATTTAAAACTACAAATTTTAAGTTATGAAATAATTAAAGTAATTTATTTATAGTACCAACAAATAAGATTAATATTTCATTAAATTTCGGGAAAAAATCAACAATYGCACGCAAATATACGTAAATACTCAATAATTTTAAAACATTTATTGAATTTAAAATTATGTTAAACGTATCTAGTTATAATATAAATTTTTGAATATTAAAACTTTTTATAAACCATTTAATAATAACAAGGATAATAACTTCAATACTTCATACAAAAACGATTTGGATCATTCTATTCTAATTTCCTAAAATTATCATAACCTAATTATAACCAAACGTCATATTTAATATTTTTTATTTTAAGTTTATAATTTTTAACATTTTTCAGAAAACTACAGATAAAATAGTCTTACATTAAGACTGCAATACATTTTCAATCTAGAGGTATCATAGGGCCATTTAGCTTATCTAATATCTACTTCCTCCCAAAAAGTGTATACATCATCTATCAACCATACAAATATGATTTATTTCCTATAATTTTTCTACACTCCATTAGATGTCAGTAAAAAATACTATACACCCYCACAACCTAAGTAACTTATTGTTAAATAAATAAGGTCCAAATTATTTATTGACAGTAGTATTAYATTTTAATAACATATAATGTATTATAATCAAAATTATTTAATATTTAGATAACAACTGTAAACTAACTAATAATATAATATACTGATTAAACTGTGTGTCTAGAGTCTAGACAATCTAAAWATTGAAACACAAGGGGAAGTTATTTGTTGTCTTTTTTCTAGTATTTTCAATTTTGTATATTATTTTTAACACATACAACCCGTAGGTGGGCTCATAACCCAAGAATATTAATAGTAAGTATTAAATACATAATATTAATACACACATCGAGTGGTGTACACTGTATATTTACCAWTAATTGCCAGTAAAATATAATGTTTCACGGTACAAATATTTCATACATCAAGGTTAGAATAATTATTCAGAATCAATGTAAATTATTTCCAGGTCGACAATGAACAATTTTTATGAATTTCATCTCAAACTAATACTACAAAGTTTCAACTTTTAATGATATCAAGCTCGATGTTGAGTTATTAGATATGTTTCTGAAAATTGAGTCTAAAAACTAAATCCTACACATGAAGTAAATAAAAAACAAAAAAAAAACGGAATTAATTTCAAAAAGAATTATACAACGTTTATGAAATGAAATTCATTCATAACTCACGTATCTACCCAAAAAAAATTATATTTGTCAAACAATTTAAACGATTGTTTTGAAAGCGTCCAAATTTGTTTAGTGTTTCGGATAAAATTTGTTATTGTGCACACGATATAACTTGTAAGCAAAGAAAAAAAATAATAATAATCGGTCGAGATGGTATCCATTTTTCAAGATAAATCAAATTCATTTATAAAATACAACATGTTTCGGGAACACAGCGGGACGGCTAAACTGCCTACACTATCCTATAGGTTCGGAAAAATCGTATTTCCCAAGAATCTTGCTGCAATAGTGCAATGTAAACGTTCCAAGACGATACAGACAAAAAGGTGCAAATAATATTATAATACCATCGATTGGGCATTATATTACGCYGCAGCGACGAGGAATTCGAATGCCTTTATAGATGAAGATATTATTATGAAAAAAGTAGGTGTTTGCCGAAAAAAATAGAAAACACGTGTTACATCGGTACGACCGAGACGAAGAATACACCTAACTCTATAACAGAGCTATTATAACACTCATTATTCATATACACATATTAATAATGAGTGTTATAATAGTAGTCAACGAAAGTCGTCTTGATAATCGGGTCAGCACTGGGAAAGAAATTTAGTGCACTGTGCAGTCGGCTGAAGGTACACTAGGTAAAACCAGAAATTTACAAACGGAGAACAAAAAACAAAAATTTAAATCTTAAAAAATCGGTAGCAACAAAAAAATAAAAATATAATAACATGTGATAATAGTAATAATAATAATAATAATAATAGTAATGAAAAACGGTTCTAGGACTTTGCCGACACGTACTTGCGGTGGTCTTGTAACGTTTTTTGTACGCGCTCATGTTGCCCGGTTGCCAGTTTCCTTGTCGGTTCACAGCACGACCATGGCGAAACAACGCAACGTCGCAGCGACGACGGCGAGTAGGTTGGTAGGGCGGCGGCGGACGAAATAATAATAATAGTAATAGTAATAGTAATAGAAATAAAAAAAAGAGAGTAACGAACGGCGGCGGAGCGGGGCGGAGAACCGGCGGCGGCGACGACACACTGCAGTGGCGAAGCGAAAGCGCCACCCGGACCGTTTCGGACGACGGCTTCGTCGTTATGTACGTGGTGCGATGTGTATACGTCGTTAACGTCGGTGTTCAGCAGCGGCGGTGTCTGCCGGGTGCGCGAGCGCTGCGGCACGACGGCGTGCGACAACAAGCGGCAACCGCGCGGCCAACGACCAACGGAACCAGGCCATGCGGCGCTCGCGGTTGGCGGCTTGTTCATCGGCCGACGTCGCGAGGGACGGGGGGGAACTGTTCGGCGGCTGCGATAACAACGTTGCACCGGCGCGCGGCCGGGGAGGCGCGGCCTATGGCCCGCGCACCGCGTCTTCCAACSACTCACCTACCCGGTACCCCTCCGCGTACAACCCAACAATCATTTACTCCTCGGTACCCCTCCACGCTACTCTTGAGCACTTCCCCCCCGGTACCTCTCCGCCAGACGATCCGGCGTGTTTCCTACCGGTCGCACGAATTGGCAACGTTTATACGGCGACCGCCGCCTCTGCCGCAAACGTATCGAGATGGACAGGCACTCTCCTCCGTTCGTCATCACCGACCTTGGGGACTTTCAAAACATTGTCGCCGGCCGAGGCCGACTCACCCCCGATCATCATCTTTTCGACCACCCATCACCAAAAGCAATAAATGTGATGATATACTACATCTACGTCACGTTACTCTGGTGTTTGCCCCGAAAAGGGCCGCCGAGACACAACAGGTCCAAAATTGTTTTCGAATAATACCTATACACGTTTAAAAGGACCAGAGTGATAACTTAATATCGTAAATGCATGACACCACCTAAATGGGTCCAAACCTCGAAGGTTTTAGATAAAACAAATACCATTTTCTCACATTCTTCTTCACACTTTTAACATACATGATATATTATTGATATATGCGAGTTTTCAACGGACTATCTCGAATTCATGGTTGGGAAAATTGTTTTTAAATAGTATAATATATTATATACGTTTTATTCATTTAAAACGATTTTTTTTTGTGATGTTTTAAATAAATCTCAAAAAAAAAAATATATATAAAAATATGGTAAATAATTTTGGGGTGGTGAGTACCTATACATGTTTACCCTTTATAATTAAAAAAAAAAATACAATTCTATCAATTGTATTGTATACCGTAGATCGCAGACAAAATGCAACCAAAATATTCAATTTTAAATGTTTAGAAATATGTATTTTATAAATAAAGATGAACACAAAAAATAAAAAACGTTTTACGTTGATAAACTCAAATAAAATAAAATAAAATTTAAAAAAATTCAATTAAAAAGGATGTATACGAAATAGAATAGATAATTATAATGAAATTATTAAAATACTCAAGTCTAAAGGCACACAATATTATTGAATTTGATTTTTAATTAAATATTAAAATATTGTAACATTTAAAATATTAGTTATTCACTTTATTGTGATAGGTATATATATATATATATGTATAATATACACAATATATAGGCACGTTTACTTTCGTAAATGTKTAAACTAATGTAGGTAAACATAAACTGTTCGAAGCTTGTATAGCGATGTTTTGTTATAAATTTGGCTAAAATTTAATATTAAAGTTGTTACATCAGTAAGTGTGGGCCGGTAATTAAGTATTCTATCCGTTCGAAATATACCCCAAGCCACCAATAAGTTGAGCTTTTAATTTTTTTTGAAAGCTATAATAAATTAAAATAAAAATAAATATTAATTAAATAATATTATTTGAATATAATGAGTAATGATTAATGAAGATTTAAAGTGTTTATGTTTATTTAAAAACCTTTTTTCACTTTTTAAATTTGGATACTTAAAACATGGATATTTTGACCGATTAATCTCGTTTAAATAAAGATGATATACAAATTACAAGTATATTCACTAAATTACTTAATTATAGTATAATAAAATAAATAATAATATCATGTCATTATACCTACCTACTTTTCAAAATAATTATAATTATTAATATGACATTAGGAATTTTTATTAGGATAATTATTTGTATAATATTCCCCGAGTTTGTGTTACTCAGAAATGATTTACATTATATAATGATTCATCGTAAATTGCAATGCTTTGTCTCCATTGCGATATGCATAACGTTCATGAAATAACTAGAGAAGCTACGTAGGAGATAACAGTACCTATATATAAGTCAATAAAAAACTTAGCTCTTAGGTAAAGCATAGTCTGGCAATAAAATGCTATAAATTATTATGAATAAACTACAATAAAAAAARCTAGCTAAAATAAATTTAAATTTATAATTTATAATTTATAAATATCTGAAAGTTTTATGAATGTGGTTTTGTTACTTGTACCAGTATTAATAATATTAGCTATTATATTAYATAATATAAGTAGGTATACTCGTATACTGTTGTATATAAGTACCTATTCAACTATAATATTATATCAATTATAAGTTTCATATATTGACGTATTGTCTGTATACAGAATTATATACTATCATAATTTATAAGTTATAACTTACGGTTTTCGTTATTCAATAGCTAATAATGTGCATGTTGTTACATTAAAATTACTCGTTAGTTGTTGTGAAGGTTATTCTGGTTATTTAATATTAAACTATTAACTATAAAGTATAAGTTCGTTTTCAACCAATAATAACAATAATTTTTTTATATTATATAGGATATAAAAAATGTTGTTCTCTTTAGAATCACACTTGAGTTTTAGGTGCCGATTAGCCGATTGATTATATCAATAGTTGTACTATAAAAAGAAAAATGATTGCAGTAATAATGTTTTTAACCTTTTAGTGAGTACCTAATACCTATAAATGTTTATTTCTACATAACTATATTGTCTATATTATTCAATAAGACAATTAGACAACTATAATTGAATACGTTTTGATATGAATAACTATTAGATGAATAATACATTATAAAATATGTATACCTAACTGTTAACTAAAAAAATATTGAATAGTTTTTCTTATAATTTTCACATAATATTATAGACATATGTGCCTACTTGATAGTTGGTTGACTACAGATAAAAATATTATTATATCATACCTAATATATAGTATAATGTGTATTACTCTATACAATCTACTGCTATTATACAGTGTACGCCACTGTGGGCCCGTAGACCCCATGTTACGGAGGAGGGAACGACAATTAGGGGACTTAGGTTAAAGTAAATTGAATTCCCATTACAAAAAATTGTGTAACTTGGAAGATTTGAGAAATCAGTTAGAAATATGATGAAATAAAATCAGAAGCAGTCACGATTGTAGAAAAATGGGGCATAAATATACATTTATACCTATATATGGTATATATACACTAGCTGAATTACCCGTCGTTGCCGGGTTTAAGTATATAAATGTATGTAACCTGCCAAGATTAAATTTTGTTAAATCTATTGAAATTTAAATTAATTAAAATTTTTAAAATAATATTTTATACATATGAATCATATTATCATAACCTATTCTATAAGTTATAGGTTTTGGCGGCAGAAGCTTTGTTCACGATAAATTTTAGCACTAAAAGTTCAAAATAAATGTTTTAGTGTTTTACTAATAGTTTTTCAATATGTTATCTACAAAACTTCTTTGAACCCAAAGCTACACAGGTGTCAGTTCTATATGCAATATCTGGATCATATGCCATACCTGAATGCACCTTGCTTTTCCATAGACGCATAGTAGTATTTTCCTTATACCTAGATTCAGTTTGATTCTGTCTATATTTTTTTTGTGCTTTTTTTATTTATTTTTTTCTTGTGTAATTAGTAAATCTAGCCCTTCGTTTTCTCTTTTTAATTAATGAGGACGAAATAGATTGATCTGTTTCACTTGATTGGGATAGTGAAATGTCAGAAATGTTACTGTGTACTGAAGATGCAATAGGTGAATGTTCGCGTTCATCGACCTGTTCCTCTATACGACTCTGAGTATTGTTTTCTGTCGCAGTAGGAAGATAAGCATCAAMATGTATATTGGACAATTCTTGTCCAAATCGTAAAAGCTATATAGAGCGCTTTCAGACGAGACACTTTGTAGCCGGCCACTGGAATCAGTGTCTGGCGGCTGACGGGGACAAAACACGCCGATTCGGTGGCGCGACACACAGTCCGTGTCTGTGTCTCGTGTGTACGAGTATATAATATAGCAATGTTATCTTAGTCGCGCGATTCTTTTCTGACATAAGTAGCCGGCTACAAAGTGTCTCGTCTGAAAGCGACCTTACTGGACAATCATTAGATCCGGACTCCGTGTAWAAGATACCATTTCGATAAACTTTAAAATTAAATGGAAATATACATCCCGCTGCTATAAMYTCACAAAGCCCACCATAAGTTTCATTTTTTATCATATCAGCATAATATTCATTAGCCGTTGAGTAATTATCACCATTTCTATTGTGGGACATAACTGAAAACTTTGTCCAATCATTCACCACATGTCTAACAATTAGTAATCGCCACCTCCATCGCATTGTTTTGTGTTCCGTGTATTAAAAAAGAAAGAGCTCGGAATAAACAGCCAACAATGGGGACAACAGTATGTTGTTCAAGTTCTCCATTAACTAAAAGACTTTCTTTAGCCATTTCTTAGGTAATTAAATTAAACAACGTTAAATTAATCYTACTAACAACAAAAACCAAACACGAAAAAATCTAAAAAACTGTTTTATATTACACTTCATGACAACGACAACGACAAAGCGGCAAAGTACATATAATTTACAGCACGTGGGCATAAATTTTATATAAGCAAACGTTTTCGTCACGCGCAGCTATAAATATAATATGTAGGATAATCACTTAATAATAACTTCTAAATACTACTTAATAACTTCTATCGTGAAAACGACAATAGTGCTACCGYGGCTCTATTCGCCGACAACGCGTTACGCCGACAATGCCGTACAAATCAATATATTTATACACCATACCAATACCAATACGGAACAATTCATATCTACACGCTGATAAAATACACACACAAATTAAAGGTCAGAGTACAGGTATATGGAAACCCTCTGGTCGCCGTGCCGTACCGTATTTCCCGTAATCGGTCGACTGCTATTATTGTTATWATTATATGAATATAGATATACAAATTACATGTAAAAATTTTCTTTTACCGATTTCAACCCTTTAAATTCAAAATTTCGAAAAATCCTATCTTAGCGCACGTCTACATCATAATAGCTATCTGTATGCCAAATTTCAGCCAGATCCGTCCAATGGTTTGAGCTGTGCGTTGATAGCAGTCAATCAGCTTAAGCTTACTGTTTTATATATRCAGATTTAAATATACGTCGTTTTCGAAAAAAAGAAACTGCAGACAATCAAAAAATCTTTTTGACGAAGTTTGTACTAACCAACGATTAACTGATTCCGAAATCAATCTTAAAATCAATGTATTTTACACGAATATAGATATTTTAATTTCACAACTTCGTACACGTTTTATGGGTATAACGTATGATGTATGAATAATATTGTGAATAAGTTTAAATTTAATTTTCCCAAAAATTTAGTACTGCCTATATATTCAGATACAGAACTGACCCATTTTGTTGACATTTTAGTTCAACAGCGTAGAAAAGATTTGTCTTTATCATTTGTACATCAAATACTTTCATTCAGAAGGGYGCTATTTAAAATTATTAAAGACGTTTTCTAGCATCAAAAAATATTAGTTGAACTATACCTAGAACTATTGATTGTTCAAAATAATTTGACTATAGCGTGCTACYTACTAGGATTACTTTAACATAGATTTTTTTTCAAAGAGWTAATCAAATAAAAGTCGGTAATGTTAGTTCTATTATACCATGATTTAAAAATTGTGTGAAATGTTTGAAAAATTACAAAATTWAAAACTTTTACAAATTAATAACTATAGTCCACTAGTTTATTTTCTTAAGTATAAGCCAGCTACAGCGATCTCACGTAATATACTGTAGTGATATCTGTAGAGATATAATTATTCCAAGAGAGTGCGCTTTTGAACCTTATACCATTGAATACAAATATTATAGTATTTTATAATCAATGCTTTTGCGTAAGGAATGTATAATGTATAAGTTTCCAATCAATCGAAATTCGAAATTTTAACTTTTTTCAACAAGTCAACATTTTAACACAACTCAAAATATCTGTAAATGGTTAGTTAATGGTTAAAATATTGATGATAAATAATGTGCGTTAATACCTACTGTTAATATTTTACGTACACGCTTAATATTTGTGTTCCATGTTAAAAAATGTTTTCATTTTTACTATTCTTTATGAATTATGACTTAGGTATGATTACARTTTATTTTTAACAAGTTATTCTGATTTTGATTTATAATAGTTATAACGTTACGCGTATACATTTTTTTTATTTTACTAAACATTCAACTATTCAAGATATATAATACTAATATAATAGTAGTAATGTATAATTTATAATGTGGTATTAATGTGTTTCCTATATTTGTAATATCAGTTATCCATTTTCTGTAGGCATATAGGAATAAATGTCTAGTCTGAATGTCAGGACTACCACAATCGATGGTTTTATTTTCTCCTTTGAAATTGTATCCATGACTGGCTATTCCATATAGGAACCCATTGCAAATCATTGGACCTCCGCTGTCCCCTGGACATACCATATGAATGTCTGGTTTTGAACACAAATATTCTTTCCATGTTTCAATTACTAAATTCGATCTATTTCAACGCGTAGATTCTATATGTCGTGATCAAAGGTAAATTATCTGATAATGACCAAATTATGAAGTAGATACCCACTCGTTGTACGATTCACATGCACTGGGACCAAACGTGACACTAGAGTTGGTCATAAATCCCATCAATTTTTGACTCGATTTATCTTCAGTAATACCAAACCCAATAACCACACAATTCAAGCTTTTTCCATGAGAAAATTCATCAGGATGGCCWGATAGACTTATATAATACCCAACATTTTTGAACGGTTTTCGTAGCTAAATTCCAAGTAGGTACAAAACTGTATTAATACCTATGCATTAGATATATTTATTAATATATAGTGTTATACATAAATATATTATTACATTAATATAAGTACATATATGTTCGTAATAATTCAATTTTTATAATTTAAAACAATAAATACAAAACATGAAAATACCTAAATGAATATTTAAATAGGTAGTTTAAATATTATAATTATATGTATTATGTATAATATGAAACTATACATGAGCTTATTATTTATTATATAATATCTATAGTTTATAGATACCTTTTATCTAAACTATTCGATTTTTTTTTAATTGTATTTTTTAGTTAAGGTCGATGGACGAAAACTTTAACAATTAATACATATTATACAGTAGGTATATTTGTTGCTGTTATAAAGTGGGAAATCAATATTATTTTCTTAACGCGTATAATAAGTATATCTTTCACGTACATTTTGGTGAAAATGATGTAGGTTGTACGTATAAATTATAATTATTTGATATAAAATATGACTAGCTAAACATCATAATAATATTACACTAATGTTGTAACATTATTAATATAAATATTATTATAATATAATCATTATAATTAAAATTTACAATATCATAATGGCAGAGTGCTTACTTTCAACAGACATATGTCTGACAAAAATGTTTCTGGATTATACTTATGGTGCCGATACATGCGCTGGACATGTTGGTGACTATTAMCGTGGTATACCTGTAAATGATTGGAACGTGTTTCGTGATAATGTACATTTTTTTATTGAATACAAACTCGGTTGTAAGTGCCAGAATACATTTATGTCTGATGTTTTCACGTCAGCGGTACAATGTGCGGCGGTCAATACGAACCACTGCGATATCAAGGAACCCGTGCATACAGAATTTCCTAATACGATGTTTTTTCGGTGGATTGTTATCACTAAACACACTACGAACGGATATTTCTCGACGTCGTATATTTCTCCGTTGGCTATGAAACCTTTGTTTTCATAATTTGACATATTTCCTTCCAATGTCAACACGTTAGTAAAAAAAAAGTTAAAATACAAAATTAGGATAATTTGAATCATAATAATGTCTGATATGCTAAATGTGTGAACAATTGTATTACAGGTATAAAGTATGATTATAAATAATCTCTAGTCGGCTTTTAATAACCCCGGCAACTTAGCCCTGGCTATTTTTAGCCATCATTATAGTCAAACGTCTAAACGTCTAATATATATTTAATCAACCAATMGTTATAATATAATTATATTTAAATCATAATAATATTATGTAGGATAATAATAATAATAATAATATTATGATTGTAAGACTACAAAAAACAATTATTAAAATAGGTACTTATATGAATTTTACAACWTAAACGTTAGTGTTACCAATATTATCTTTATAGCCTTAAAGGTGTATATTATGTATACAATAAATTAATAGCATAGCTATACGAGGTCTGCAATAAGCAATCGAATACCGGGAACGTTTAATGAATATAAATTTACTCGTACTAATAGTATAGCCCCGTATAGGCACTATCTATAATTATTACAAAAAACTTATTAATATTTTTTCGTTTTAAAATTATAACAGAGTATACACGTCTTCATACACAAGGACTCGATTGTCAYGGCATTCTAACGATCAAAATTTCTTTTCCAGCTCATTGCTTCTTCCAACAGCTCTAACATTTTGCGTCTGGTGTCCGTAAGAACTTGGTCAGACAATTCGTCCATTAAAGGCGATAATGATAGCAAAAATAGTTCGTTGCCTTTTTTGTCACTGGATTCTTTCAACTCTCGCAAAATTGTCCACCTTTATTCAAAATAATATGACAACATTTAACTATATTTTTAGCGTTCAAAATATATTTTACGCAAATTACCTGTTTGTGTTGATCGATACTGGTTTGGGTAATGCAAATCCGGGATTGAACGAATCCAGTGGATAACACTGAAAATATAGTAAATATACATAATTTATATTTTTGTAAACGTATATTGATGTTATTAATTTTTAAAGTTGAATTATTTAATTTTGTTCACCTCTTCCAGCATGAGCTTATCTTGATAACATAGGGGCTCAGGTTGAACGTCTTTTTTTGAAAAATGTATTGTGATATTTACTACACGTATGACATTGTCACCTGTAATTCGTATTTCAATATAAAGAATTATTTAGCTTTACTTCTAGTTTTAGATAAAGTGAAGTTCTTAATATTATTCATAGTTAAATTCACTTACCAATGGCGTAAAAACAAAATACAATCAGGACGAAACCGCCTTCCCACAATAAATATTGATAAGGCAATGCCCTTGAACGATTTATATTAGTCTTCCAAAATTCTCGATAGCCATATTTTATAGGTAATAATTCTACATGACGTCTTCTGACGATCATAGGGGTTTTCAAGACAATTTGACGATATTCGAGTGGTATGTCCAGTATAATTGGAGTCAACTGATACGGCATTGAAACTGTGGTACAATATTCAAACATTTAAACGTAATTAAATTCATAATGTCAAACAATTGTGAGCAAATAGTTTGATTCTTAGTGTACTTCGTGTACAACAATTTGACTAAAATAAATAAAGTGATCGAAGAATAGTGATACTACCATATGCAGATTAGGATTAGGGACTACTATGACTGCATAAAATAATAAGAAGATAAAAATAATGATTTGTCAGTGGTTAGGTAATAAATTATTGTTGGATAGTTTGATTAAATATTATATATACCTACTATAGAAAGTAGAAGAGTAAAAGTTAAAATGTATTATGTTGGAATATGCATCACCGATACCCAATACTTTTAAGTTTTGTGTTTCTCGTATTATAGTGCGATAAAGGTTTCTATTGACTTTAGTAATAGCAAAATACAATTTTTGCATAAGGTGATTGATAAATTAGGGCGTTAATTGTGCAATATTGCTATAATAATTAATAACAGTGTTATTTTACTGTCACAACAAAAATACTTAAATATTTTGTTGCGTATAATAATTTATAATTTGTAATTAATGTTATATTATATAATCAATATAATTTAATTTAAATTTAAATAAAAGTTTAATAGTTAAAATTCAGGATGCTTATTAAAAAATGACTCTCAACAACGTGTGTAACTAGAGACTAAAGTTAACATATTTTGGTTAGTCACTGTGATTTTAGCCTTCAAATGTTATTTCCCACGCTAAACATTTTTTTGTTCAAAACAAGGTGGGTTAGAATAAATCTTAAACGTATGTTTTATTAATTTATCGTAAAAAAAGTAAAAATATTGTTTATTAAAATTGAAATAGAAATATTTCCAACGACAATAAAAGTATATTATTTAATACAACTTAATTTTGGTTATGCGAATTATTCATCACTTCTTAATTCTTATAGAAATATTAAATATAGAATATTTTGGTGTGTTTTGTGTATCTATTTATTGAAACATTTTTTTTTAAATTTTTGATTATTTTTACACAATACTGATTGGTGGTTCGGTTTTTATAACTTTGAAATCAATTAATATGACACCAGTTGATGGTATTATGTTAATATAATATCACTAAGAATATAGGTGTTTGAAATTAAAAAAATTGTAAACACCTATTTTTAGGAAACGTTTGTTATTTCTATTTGTTTTACAGATTTTGGCTCACTCACTTAATTCCGGGTAGCAGTTTAAATATTTCAGCATCATAAAAAGCATTTTCCATCCGGGCTTATGAACCATGCGGTCTCGGGCACCGTGAGTTCCATCGTGAAATTTAAGTAAGGCCTACAAAAAATGAATACATGTTGTATTATGTAAATTAGGTTCATAATTTTATATACATTTTAATAATAGTTTTTAATATTTACATAAAAATTGATTATTTTATTCAAATTTTAAGTTCCATCAAATACATTTAATGCACATTTGCAAAATAGATACTATATATAATATAAGAATCTACTAAAAATCTATTATGTTTAAAATAAATGTATAAATAGATCACTGTGTTTATAATGTATTCTATAATAGTTATGAGATGTTACAACAATTCTGTTTAGAATTCGAACCCTGTAGTTAATCAGCTATTTTACTGTAATTTCATAAAACTACAAAATGCTTTWAATATAATAATTTCATGGTGTTGAATACAATTTTAAAATCAGTTCTAGATATTATATATGTGCTAGAAACATCTAACTACTTTGGCATTTTTTTAACAGTCTTTAAACAGTATAACATTTTAAGAGTACTTTTCTTTTTTTCTCCTCTTTCCATGCGCAGTGCTTCATAAATAAAATGTTTATTTGAACAAGACACTATGGCCTATACGAATAATAACGATTTGCAGTTAATTTGTTCACAGTTTGGAAGTTATTAGTAGTTCSTTTAAGTCAAAATATTATTTTTAAAGGTTCTGGACGCAACGATGAGAATAATGATATTAATAATAATAATATAATAATATTGCTTGTAATGGCGACATACTTGGACGAGATCGTATCCAGCTTCCTCGGTAGTTTTCGTCATTTTTCAGTAGTAATGATTTCGCAGCGTTTAAATAGCGTTTATATCGCACTCGGTGGCACTACCTGTTGTATTTCAAAACGCTTTATATGTCTTTAACACGGTTTGAAGGTTGGAATGCAGGCGAACACCAAATCTTAACTGCCGCGGCAAACAAAACGGTCTATTTCTAGACGTTTGGCGTCTGCCAACTTACGCGCAATTTTTTGTCATCGGACGTCGATTCAGCTTTATGCGCCGGGACTACAATGTCWGTTTACGGATCAGCTGTTTATAAATACCGTTTATTGTTGTAATACCAAGTTTTTGCCTTAAAATAACACATCGTAATAGCAGATACACATAATAACGCGATGGTGCAATGTTTCTTTTGAAAAAAATATTATTACTTATTCCGCGCTTCATCAATAATATACCATAACACAGAACCATACGAAGGTCATCAAGTGTGTATGGGTATACATTATTTAGCTTATCCGTAAACAAGGCACATTTAACTGATAAAATAATATATACGTTTTGCCGTATTCAACGACCGAAATTATTTATGTAAATATAATGAGCTATAATATGGTTGCGTATAACAAGACAATAATATTATTKAGTGAACAGAATATTTCWTGTCCACACCAATTACAGACACTGAGCTATATGCATACTACCCATCTGTATTATGTGTATATCTTATATATAAAAATCTTGTGTCAATATTTGTCCGGGATGAACTCTGAAAGTAGGTACTGCATGGACCGATCTGGATGAATTTTTTTTCAGTTTGTGGAATTTGGTCCAACTTAAAAGATAGGATAGTTTCTATCTCAATTAAGACCCTAAATATTTTTTATTGCAATAATTGTGAAGAAGAAGGTTATAGAATTTTCTAGAAAGATCCACAATGTTCGAGAATAGAGAGTGACGTTGTATAAAATGTTCGCTAATGCTTCGTTCTATAGAAATTTCGATCTTCAAAGGTAAAAAAAGCAAAGTTCGGTACAACGTATTCTTCAGTATTATTTAGTTGTGACCAAAAGGGGAGTTTGTAATTTGCACCAAATTAAAGATATATAATCTGCACCACTGCTGGTAGCCAAAAATAGTGGTTGTAATTTGCACCAAAATAAGGGTATGGGAATTTGCACCACCCTCAGGTAGTCGAAAATAGAATTTGTAAATTTCWCAAAAATGATTATTTATTTGTTCAATTATCTAATATTCGATTTTGAAATATTCGATTTTTCCTCGGTATCTTAGTAGACGTCGAGACTAGACTGATACGAATGACAATAATAATTTTAATAATAATACGATTTAATAACATATAATTTTTTTAATTGGCCAACTTTTTTTTATATTCATAATTATACAATTTTATATAAACTTAGTACTTACATCAATATGTGTATAAACTCGGCTATTTTATAAATAAAAACTAAGCCAAATTTATATTAGGATATAAAAACTTATAAATTTGTACTATCGAAAAAATAATCGATTTTAATTTTGGTGCAAATTACAATTCCTATTTCTTACTACCTGAGGATGGTGCAAATTACAAACGCAYTTTAAAAAAATGGTGCAAATTACACATGTTGTAAATATTTTGGGTCAATTTTGGTGCAAATTGACTACAGCCACCAAAAGAATACCTATATGTAAGTACCTATGTGTAGGTACCTATACTGTGAATTATAAGTGTACTTAAGTTAAGTGAGTTGAAGACCTTGAACCATTTAACTTGAGTTATAATTATAAAGTTTTATTTCTTATCTGGCATTTTTGGAGTTAGAAGTTCGTAGTTTTGCCTACCATTTTAAATATTTAAAGTATACCTATTAAACTTTATTAGGCACAATAAATAAAAGTCAACTTTATTACTTTGTGGTATTTAATCCTGGAAGTGAAGTATATACATAGGTATCTTCAAGGCATCATCATTCTGTAGTTTTAGAGCTATATGTCTATATCTTGACTTAATGCCTCAGCAAAAAAAATATATTATTGAGTAAGCACATTAAAAAATAAAATTATTTATACAAAAACGGGCTATACATTTTTCTTTTTGATGATCCATTTTTTGATTAATTTCTAAACATAAACGTGTAAAACATATTGCTTATATACATATATTGTTATACACATAAAATACTCTTATGAATGAAAACGCTATAAAATTATTTCAATGAATAGGTACTACTAAAATACATTCTACTACTTTTTCTCCTATYATTCACAACTCATGACTAATTTTATAAACGTTCTAGCTAGTCATTACAGTGTGTTGCAATGCTATACATTAAAGTTGAAAGATATACATATATATAGTCCTTAGCCTCAAATTGATTTTACAAATTATTTATGATATCGCTATGTATAATTAAATATATTGCAATTAAAACAGTATGAAGAATAGGTTTTAAGCAGATATTAGCGCACTATATTTGGCTTTCTCTACCTCAACATTGCATAATATGGACAATTTACGTTCAGCAGAACCAATCTTGTTTTGATAGCTTTTATATAGTTGTGTACAGTATAATTATTTACTTATTATAAAACGTTATAAAATGTAGAACTTTGTTTGTGTTTTTTTTTTAGTATGTAAATTTGTATGCAAGTTATGAGTAGATATGTAAAACATTTGCTTAAAAATTATACTCACAAATAAGTATAGAAAAACTTTAAATATCATAAAAAGTGAAAGTACAAACACAGACAATTTTCTTAACTTTACGTTTTACGGTAGGTAAATATACTTTAATATTAAAGCTTGTTCGAACACCGACCCTCTTGGCGCGTTTCAGTCGGACCAAAGGTCATTGCAGCGCAAGTGATTGTCCGATCAACACAGTTACCAATTTTTTCTTTTCCGAGTGGTCAAGCTGCGATCGCCGTGGATTTGTCGCCGCCGTCCCGGTCGACTCGTCAACTTTGTCGCGCCATCTTGACAGCTTTGACACATTCGTCAAAAACCGGTCGTGTTTACGCGGTAGGCTCTACACTTTTTCTGTGCTTGTGTGCTCGGTTTTGTTGTCCGGTGACACTAAAAAACCATGTGTTTTTTTTTTATTACACGCAAATTCGCGTTCGTACGAATTTATATTATTCTGTTTAATATTGTTGCGTCTTATGCGACCCGACATTATATAATTGTGTCATATTTATATTAATACACAACGTGCAATCACCTTTTGCTCATCTATCGGCATGCTGCAGGATGTAACGTACCATTTATTTGTTCTTATAAATACATACAATAACCGCCACGGCCGTATTTTTTATATATAGGTACATAAGATTTTATTATATTCGCATCTATGTCGTCAAGCTGGTCCTAATATTCTATCATACCAGTGAAGATTACCAACTTGGATCGTTGGATTGACCCGTTGGAATCAGGTCTATCTTTTTATATTTTGTATACCACCTTTTGCCTTAATTGGTAAATTAATTATTTATGTTATAATTTATTGTAAAATTCATATTATTGTATTATTTATATATTATTATTATTTTCGAAGCCTCGTGTTATTATACTATTATATTTGTAACACTTTGCGACAGTGTCATCGTATTATTATATAAATATATCGAAAATTTGCAACTAATTTATTAACATAATAATTTGTTATTATATATTGGTCTTCTATATCTTCTCCACGTGAGTCGCAGCAAACAACTGCCTATATTGTAAGATTTGTCGCGGTGACAAAACAAAGCTAACAACACAAGGCTGCATGGTTATCTTTAACGTAAATCTGCTATCTTGGACATGTGTCAAAGAGCCAAGAAAACAAAATGTGTTTTGATTAATCCTCTTAAGAGGACGTGATACCCAAATGCGTTGTCTCCATCTTACAAGTGCGTAACATAGCAAAYTTWAAGCTCAGCAGAACACGTGTAGCTCTGATAATTTAAAATTTAGAGTGAATTGACCTCTAATAAAATTAAAAAATAAGATTACTATCTAGAAAACCTCATATATGCTTTTTATCATATTTTATGATTTTATTATATATTTTTAATTTTAAAGCGAATTATGAGTATTTTAAGATGTAAAAACTATTTACAATTTTTAAATACTCATAACTTGCTTTAAAATTAAGATAGATATGATAAAAATCATTTGAGGTTGTCTAGATAATAATTTTTTAAATCTTATTAGAGGTCAATTAACTCTAAATATTAAACTAACGGAGCTAAACGTGACYTGCTATGTTTTCTGCTAAAATCTGCTAAAATTTGGTATGTTACGCACATGTAAGACGGAGACAACACACGCGGGTATCACATCCTCTTAACAAATTCACATGCATGTTAATCAAACAGTTTATAATGTACAATGTCTTACCACATTATCCAAATTGAGTTCTGCTCAGTTATTTATACCTAAACCTATCTTTGCATTATATATATTTTATATAATAGGTAGGTGTATAATATAATATATATATAAATGTGAAATGCATTTTTTAATAACAGCTAATCCCAGAAACCAATCGCCGATTTAAATAAAAAGTTTAATTAAATAATAATAGATTCTTCAGGACTCGTTAGATGTTTTTAAAATCATACAAGTTGCTGATTTAAAATATTATTCCACCGATTTTGATGAAAGTTYCAGATATTGTTCTTAGATATATCAGTAAAGTTTAGAGAGTAATATGAACCCCATCAGAAAATATACCAAGCGCTACCTTGATACGAATTCCTCATAGAGTGCATTGCTCATTTTGGTCGAATTAGTTCACAAAGTGAGATACTYCGTAACACCGATACCGATAGGCCACYGAGAATCGAGATATTCTTTTGTTCATTTTTCACATTTGTCAGTTTATACAGCTATAGAATAACATACCTACATATCATATATAAAAATGTACAGTGTATGTATTAGCTAGATTGTAAGTATCAAAATATTTTTAATGATTTTAATACAATATGATACTTATCTATAAGACATTTGTAAATAAATATTTAAATATATAATATTGTACAGGAATGAGTTATTTTTATTCACGGCTATCGTCTCCGGAAGCCGAGATGATATGAATATTTTGTTTTTATTTTTTACTAAAGATTTATTAATAATACTATGTTAATACTTCGTTTGTACGCAAAAATACACAATAATAAACAGAGGTGTAGTAAAATTTAAATTAGACACTGACACACTGTGTGGAAATTTGCGTAGGTCGTGTTTATT